TTTTTTTTTTTTTTTTTTTTTTTTTTTTTTTTTTTGGAGGGGTACCGCTTTTATGGTGAGAGCGATTACTAGGGGACTAGCTAAAAAAATTGTGCATGCATAAAAGTGTGAGGCGGGAAATGGGGCTAGCTGTATAATTCTCCTCGCCGTGTGTCCCTTTGCATGGCTGGCAGGGCTGGCATGGCTGGCATGGCTGGAACAGCTGGCTGCTCGCTGGGTGGTTACTTTGTCTTGGCCCCTTCTGTGTGGGGCACCTGAATTTTGGCTCGACGGGGCGACGAGGACCGCGCCCCCTGAGGTACCACAAAAGGGGGAGAAAAAGGAAGAATACATATAAGGGAGGATAAACATAATCCTTGTATGTGCTTTTTCATACACGCCTTAAGGTGATCCAGTGTGTGAATCTGAGCATAATGGTACGGAAGGGGAGGGAGCATACGAAATTGTGGCCGAAGTATCACGATTGAGCACCCCGCGGGGCAGTGGGGCGACGTTGCATGATGTACATACACCGCTTCTTCGTGCCTGGGGGGTAAAGCACGGAAAAAATATATTCACGCATGTACGTACGTCTGCATGCATTTTTACACGAGTGTGTGCAGGTTCCTGTTTGATAGGATGCTTACGAGTACGCTATGGCATGACGCGGAGCTGGCTTGTGCGTGCATTTGCATGCAGCCGTCGTTCCAGCGCTGTTCCAGCGCCACCCCGTTAGCCCAATTTTTGTTTTCCTTGGGGAATCCCCCCCCCTCCCAACACACGTAGGAACACCTAACATGTGCGCCGAGTGTACACGGCGGGGCGGTCGCTTGTGGCGACAGTGCATCCAGTACTCCATGTCACCATTTTTTATTTTCCCTTATCACCGTTATTTTCCCATGTCATGGTTTTTTTTTTTTTTTTTTTTTTTGCATGTCATTGTTTATTTTTTTTTTTTTTTCATGTCCGATTTTACACATGACTTTTTTCACTTGACTTTTTTTCAAGAGTCAACTTTTTTAAATAAATTTCTTTCTCCCAACAGAGTTTTGTAAGTCCTTTTTTTTTTTTTAAACCAACTTGCAATATATATGAACAAAAAAAAAAAAAAAAAAAAAAGAGTGACAAAAACGATCCTGATCGTGTTTTACACCCCATCGTCTTTTACACCCATTTTTAAGCTTCTTTCCAAGGCAGTTCACCCAGAGCCTTCGCTTGCC